TAGTGCTGCATTTGACACAATAGACCACAGCATTCTACTGCAGAGGCTAGAATGTGATATAGGTCTTAGAGGAACAGCCCTTGGCTGGTTTAAATCCTATTTATCAGATCGATATCACTTCGTCAATGTGAATCAGGACTCGTCGCCTTATTCTGGAGTGGAATTCGGTGTGCCGCAGGGTTCGGTACTCGGACCGATTCTTTTTACTCTCTACATGCTGCCACTGGGAAACATTATTAAAAAGCATGGAATTAATTTCCACTGCTATGCAGATGACACACAGCTTTATCTGTCGATGAAGCCTAACCAGACAGATCAGCTAGAAAAGCTCAGTGCCTGCATAAAGGACCTTAAAATGTGGATGACTCTTAACTTCCTACTTCTCAACCTGGAGAAGACAGAAGTGATCCTACTCGGTCCGAAGCGCCTGCGTGACTCCCTCACTAACCAGATGGTTACTCTCGATAATGTCAGTATAATACCCAGTAACACTGTGTGGAATCTTGGAGTCATTTTTGACCAAGAACTCTCCTTCAAGGCTTATATAAGCCAAGCAATAAAACGGCGTACTTCCACTTACGGAACATCGCTAAAATTAGGCATTTCCTTCCTAAAAGTGACGCGGAAAAACTCATTCACGCGTTTGTCACCTCAAGGCTCGACTACTGTAACGCTTTACTGGCAGCGTGCCCTAAAGCCTCTTTGAAGAGCTTCCAGCTCGTTCAGAATACAGCAGCTAGGATCTTAACAGGTACCAAAAGGAGGGAGCACATAACTCCGGTGTTAAAATCACTCCACTGGCTCCCTGTGGAGTACAGAATAAAGTTTAAAATCCTACTCTTAACATATAAAGCCATAAATGGCTTGGCTCCTCTTATCTCCAAGACACGTTAGTGTCGTATCAACCAGTCGAGCGTTGCGCTCACAAAACGCCAGACGTCTGGTGGTCCCTAAGGTCTCAAAGGTCACTGTTGGTGGCAGAGCATTTAGCTACCAAGCTCCTTTACTGTGGAATCAGCTTCCCATTTATGTTAAGGAAGCAGATACGGTCTCCACATTCAAGGCCAGGCTTAAAGCACTTTACTTTAATTTAGCATATAATTAGGTAATATATAATATGTAGTGTATATATTATATATATATGCTGTATTATGTTATATATTATGTTATATATTATTCAATAATGTATTGTGTTATGTTGTATATTATGTTATATATTATGCTGTATGTTATTCTTTATTCAAGGCTAGGTTTAAAACAGTCCTCTTTAGTTTAGCATATGGCTAGGAAGGTAAGACTCGGAGAAGGTTAAACTCCTCAGAGTGTTAGTCAAGCTGCATAGGGAGTCAGTTTGCTGGGAGAAGTATGGTAACTTGAGCACTATCCTCTCCTCCTTCCTACTTTATCTGTTTAGCATTTTTAGGATTCTGACTGTAGTTTGTTCATTGCTATTCACCCGTTGTCCCATTGTCTGTTTCATGGTACGATGACGGGATCTCTGAGCCTGGCCTCCTCCATCTGCACCTGCGGACTGCCCCGCCCGACCCGCCTGGGAGTGCTTCAGTCCTGCACCGGACCTGTCCACGTTCAGCGTCCACTGGTCCACGTCCTGTAGCTAGCTTAGGTCCTGGATCATTAGTCTGTCCGTCCGGAGGAGCGGATCCCTTTCTCATATGGGTCTCCCTCCCTGTGGGTTTCCCTAGTTCTCCTCCAAGGTTTCTCACTTTTTCCCACTGGGTTTTTTAAGAGTTTTTCCTTGTTGATGCAGGAGGGTCTTGTTGGACAGTTAGTGTCCAACAGAAAGGATTGGTGATGATCAGGACACTTTAGCATTCTACAACATGTATGGACATTTTCTTCTGTGTGTGCTTTATACTGTATTCTTCATGTGTTTTAACTGTTGATTCTCTGACCTGTGTTGGTGATTTCAATGGTTTTGTTAAGTCCTCTGAGATGACTTCTGTTGTGACCTAGGGCTATACAAGAATACATTGTATTGTATTGTATTGTATTGTTTGATTCTCTGATCTGCGTTGGCGAATCGACAGCTTTGTACAGTCCTCCGAGATCACTGCTGTTGTGATTTAGGGCTGTACAAAAACACATTGAATTGAGTCTCACAGATATGAAGTAATGTCGCAGAGAGATGAACTGAATCCTGAAGTTTAGTGTCTTGACTTCAGCTGTTTGTAAAGCCTGGGGCTGTGTTGCCTGGTGCTGGCGAATAACCCAAAGTGACAGCTGCCTGTGGCCCCCGCTCACTGCCTCTGTGTGTGTGTGTGTGTGTCAGCCTCGGCCCCAACAGGCTCCAGAGAACACACAACCAAAAGCATTGCCTTTTTATTTTTTAGTCCAGGCTCACTGACAGCTAGGGGGAAAAGAAAAAAAAAAACAACGTCAAAAGCTAAAAAAACCAGGGGATGGGACTGTTTCCATGGATACAGAATTGTAGGCTCTGCTTGTGTCTTTCCGCACGTTGAGCCGTGTCCTCCGCTGCTCCCCGCCCTCCTCCTGTCAGCGTTTGCCCGGAAACGTGGGGAGAGGAAGTAATCTGGGAAGATGGAGTGTGTGTTAAGTGCGCTGCTCGATGGCGATGGACTTTCCGCTGGTGGAGTTTGCTCAGACACACATCACGCTGCTGCTGTTGAGTTATCGAGGCTGCAAAGTGACACAAAGCCATCTCGTCGTCCTGAGAGGCTGCGAGAGGCTCTGAGTGGGGAAGAGCGAGAGCTGAGGCCGAGTCAGTCACCGCTGATGCAGCCGCAGACACACACAGGTCTTTCTGCTGCACTTTGGCTCTGGCAGATCAGGTCTCACTGCAGGCTTCATACAAGGCACTGTACCACTGTTATGGTGTGGACTTTGTGTTGACTAATTTGATTATCATTCTCTTGTTGTTTTGAGTTGTACTTCCTGTTTGTCTGTTGCTGGTTTGCCCTTCCCTGATGTGTTTCCTGTGTCTCCCTCTGTGTGTTTAGACTTGTGTGTGTTTAGACCCTGTGTGTGTTTAGACTTGTGTGTGTTTAGACTTGTGTGTGTTTAGACCCTGTGTGTGTTTAGACTTGTGTGTGTTTAGACTTGTGTGTGTTTAGACTTGTGTGTGTTTAGACCCTGTGTGTGTTTAGACTTGTGTGTGTTTAGACTTGTGTGTGTTTAGACCCTGTGTGTGTTTAGACCCTGTGTGTGTTTAGACCCTGTGTGTGTTTAGACCCTGTGTGTGTTTGGACCCTGTGTGTGTTTAGACCCTGTGTGTGTTTGGACCCTGTGTTTGTTTAGACCCTGTGTGTGTTTGGACCCTGTGTGTGTTTAGACCCTGTGTGTGTTTAGACCCTGTGTGTGTTTAGACCCTGTGTGTGTTTAAACCCTCTGTGTGTTTAGACCCTGTGTGTGTTTAGACCCTGTTTGTGTTTAGACCCTGTGTGTGTTTAGACCCTGTGTTTGTTTAGACCCTGTGTTTGTTTAGACCCTGTGTGTGTTTAGACCCTCTGTGTGTTTAGACCCTGTGTGTGTTTAGACCCTCTGTGTGTTTAGACCCTGTGTGTGTTTAGACCCTGTGTGTGTTTAGACCCTGTGTGTGTTTAGACCCTGTGTGTGTTTAGACCCTGTGTGTGTTTAGACCCTGTGTGTGTTTAGACCCTGTGTGTGTTTAGACCCTGTGTGTGTTTGGACCCTGTGCTCCTGGCCTCTTGTCTGTTTATTGTTGTTTTTCTCCACGTCTTGCTCCTGTTTTTAGATTGAATGTTTGATGTTAGTGTCGGTGGGTGAAAGATGAGTTGTGGGTTTTAAAGAAGGTTTTGTGTTTTTATGCATGTTGTGCATGTGTTTTTAGTGACTTGCACAACCCGAAGCACCCGGCTCCCCACATGACTGTGGAGCATTACAACCTGTGCCCTGGGTACAGAAGGCGAGGATGGGGAGAGGTAGAGGAGGAAAAGGAGGAAGCGGAGGAAGAGAGGAAGAGGAGGAAGCCGGAGAGCAAGACACAGGGTCAGACTCAGGGTCAGACTCAGGGTCAGACACGGGCGGTCTGGCAGCCCAGGCCGTGGCCACGAGACATTAAGGGCAGACCCGGAGAGCAGGAGCCGAGCAGAACCGAAGAGAGAACGAGAGAGCAGACAGAGAGGTGTGACCCATTTGAGCCCTGTTTTTAACTCTTCAAAACCTGTCTTCTAAAGTCACAGTGCAGCCAGGACCGGAGCATCCACTTGGAGCAATGCAGACATTTCTAAACACTTTTTGAAGGACAACTTTATAAAAAGAAGAGCAGCACATGCAAATATCCAAACTTTGAGTTTCACTCTTGTTACTCGGCTCGTGAGGCAGACATTCTGGAAAGCTCCTTCACCGGACGCACACGTCAACAACGGGCTATAAAACAGTTTGGTTATATTTGTGTATAAATTATAGCTGAATTTGGTCGTACTGTTCCCACTGAGCACGCCTCGACACACTGATGATCACAGCCTACCGTCCTGTGTGTCTGTGTGTGTGTGTGTGTGTGTGTGTGTGTGTGTGTGTGTGTGTGTGTGTGTGTGTGTGTGTGTGTGTGTGTGTGTGTGTGTGTGTGTGTGTGTGTGTGTGTGTGTGTGTGTGTGTGTGTGTGTGTGTGTTTTTACTCATGCTAAAGCTTTAACTCTGACTCTCCAGGACATGTACTCTTACTGACAGAACAGTATCAATGCTCGACAGTTTGTCAGTATCATTGATTCCAAACACACAGAACAAGGCAGGACTGAAGTGTTGTAAAAGTGTTGAATAAATGAAGCAGATAAAATATAAAATGAACAACTTCTTTTCAAAGCCTGAACATTGTATATGACAACATTCCTTTCCAATCCCAGTAATGTGGTAATACATTCTTAGAGGCATTCAACTGACTTCTTTCTCAAAGCAGCAGAATTGAGTGCATGCATCACGTTTAAAGAGCTCCTGACACGGCCACATTATAATCTATTATGTTTTCTGTGTAAGTCACTGATGTGGTTTTTCCACTCCCAGATCTACAGACACACGTTCTGCTTCCTCTTCCTCTTCTTGTTCCCAATAAATCTGCAGACAGATCCTCCGCACCTCCTCATCTCAAACTGGGTCAGCCCAGCAGTCATGGGTGGATGTTTGCAGACACAGGCTCTAACTAGCATCGCGGAGACAGACACCACTTGGATTAAAGGAGGACACGTTTAAGGCACTGCAGATTTACGCAGGAAAACACAAGCTTGCATTTGGATAACTGACGGAGCAAACGCTGAGGCCAAAAAGCCTTTGTCATCCACTAAGTCCTTCAGTCAAATTAAATCTAGGATTCTTGGCAAGACTCACAAGGTTGAAGACTGAGGCAGAGCCAAAGAGGACAGCGTGGGGGAGGTTAGACTGATGGCTTCCCTTTATTCAGTGATGGACAGAGAGAGACGACAGAGAGAGAGTGGACAGAAAGAGAAAGGACAGAGAGACGACAGTCAGAGACAGGACAGAGAGACGACAGATAGAGACAGGACAGAGAGAGAGGACAGAGAGACGACAGATAGAGACAGGACGGAAAGAGAGGACAGAGAGAGAGAGAGGACAGAGAGAGAACAGAGAAAGAGAAAACAGAGAGAGAGAGATAGAGAACAGAGAGAGAGAGGACAAAGGGGACAGAGGGAGAGAGAACAGAGAGAAAGAGAGGACAGAGAGAGACAGGACAAAGGGGACAGAGGGAGAGAGAACAGAGAGAGAGAGAGGACAGAGAGAGACAGGACAAAGGGGACAGAGGGAGAGAGAACAGAGAGAGAGAGAGAGAGGACAGAGAGAGACAGGACAAAGGGGACAGAGGGAGAGAGAACAGAGAGAGAGAGAGAGAACAGAGAGAGAGGAGAAAGAGGAGAGAGGAGGCTGACCTGTCGGGGCGTGTGTGGCTCCTGGTAGCTGGGCAGGATCTTGAGCACCACGCTGCCGCTGGCCTCCTTCAGCATCTCCTGCAGGACCTTGGGGTCGTTTCCCACCTCTTTTCCGTTCACCTCTTTGATGATGTCGCCCACGTGCAGCAGGCCCTGCTGGTCGATCATTCCACCGTGGAGGATCCGGGCAATCACCAGCTCGCCGCTCTCCACACGGAATGTCACGCCCTGAATGCACACACACACAGGCCTCATAAAGATATACAGACAAGGACAAATACACAGAAGGGGACTTTGTTTTAGCGAGTGGGGAAAAGCATTGACGCTCTGTTTTTGTCTATGAACACTCGGCCTGGTTGGTCTGGTCCAATCCTGGTTCACTGGGAGCAAATAAGCTTTATGGATTCAAAACAGCCAAACATGTGTCCACTAGTATATCTTCTGAAACATTCATTCATTCATTTACATCCATTACTGGGTCAGGGGGGTGGCTATCACAGCACCAAAGAACCAGTTACAGGAAGATGCTCCTTCAACGACCTTGATTTTTCAGCGGGTTTAGGCCCAGTTTATACGGAGACAATGCTGCTGTAAAACGCTATAGTTGGATGTTGGTTGCTCAGATACGCTGCTCAGCAGGGGGCGCTCTTACAACCCCGCGTGAAGGAAAAAGGTGTGAATTCTGCTGATCCACCTCCCGCTGCTCCCCGCACGTACATTTGGACATGCGCAGTAGCTGAGAACAAACGTAAACATCAATGGCGGCGGGTGCACTAACTAGCATCATGTGCTTCGAGCGCTACACGGAGGAGAATTCTACACCTTCGTTCGTCCAAACGAGACCACGCGAAGCTCTTGTTTCAGTTTCCATTTTCGCAGCTGCTGTTAAAATGCAGAATGATGTTGGTTCTTTCACGTCTTCCAGAGGAAGTGAGTATACTGCTGGGGGGCCCTGGGGGTCACGTGTGTCGTGTTGTAAAGTTTTTCTGCCCACTACTGTCCGGGCGCTAGAACTACATCGTTTTTGATCCTCGTATGTACGCTGCGAAATTTGCATCAGGAGCCTGGCCGTTTCTGTTAATAGCCTGGCAACGTCTGCGCAGCGCCTCCATCTGAACTGGGCCTAAGTGTCTTGCCCAGGGACACAGCGATAGCACACATCAGTGGGAGCAGATGACATGGGTCGCGGTGGGATCGAACCCAAAACAATTAGGTTCAAGGACCAATGCTCTACCAACTGAGCCACTGTCGACCCCAATCTCCTGAAACAGATCTGCAGCTGACAGAGAATCAGAAGGAAGTCAGTAAATAATGCTAAGCACCAAGGACGTGTGGGTTTTACTCGCTTCATTATTATCATATGATCTAAATTTCCCATTTGCTGATATCCATCTAAATAGTGCTGCGTTCTGAGGCTCTTCCACTGCATTAGGGCGTTCATATCTGAAAGGCTGCTTGGCAGGTGCTGCTCTCAAACCTTTTAGACTTCATTAGACAAATCCATCAGAGAACCTTCTATGGCCCAGAGGAGCTGCGAGAAATGCTTTTCCAAATGTAATGTATGCAGCCTTTAAGGAAGTCAGCTCCTCTTACTGCCTTTGAAATGATAGACTTATATTCAGATGGAGGGGTCCTACTCTGAACGCACAGACAGAGGAGTGAGGAGAGAGGAGAGGACAGAGGAGAGAGAGGAGAGGACAGAGGAGAGAGGATGTACCAGATGCTCGCCGGACACCTTCCGGATCCCGACCATGCGCACGGCGTCTGGAGGCACAGGCTGGTTGTTTAGAGCTGCGTCCATGAAGGAGCAGGGGCTGGGAGGAGGGGTCTCGTAGTTTTTGGAAGCCACAGAATCATGAGTTTCTACCAGAGACTGAAAGAGAACCACAGACTGCTCCTTTAACCAGACTTTAAGACAGTAACAAGTTAAAAAAACATTACTGTCCAAGCTCAGTTCAGCAGATCTCCATGAATCAGTCTGACAAAGCTGCTGCGCCACACTCTCTGGAAACGGGTCGACTTCAGTACCGCTGTTTGAAAACATTTGAGGAATTCTTGGACGTCTTGGCACAATTCCCCAAAATAGACGTGATAATTATCTATTTTATTAGTCTGATACTGCGGCCTGATTCTGCAACCATTTAGAAGTAGTGCTCTTCTAGTAAACGGAAGAACCACCACGTGACGGCACCAGAACCACTCTCCCAGACTCTGAAGCTGCAGGTCTGGGATCAGAGAGCAGACCAGAACCAGACAGATTCAGATTCATGTATTTGCCATTTGCAGTAAAACCACGTTGGAACACATCCCAGCTAGGAGGCCGGTCCCCTGTGCTCCTCCGAGTCCCAGCAGGAGTCGGTCCCTGTGCTCCTCCGAGTCCCAGCAGGAGTCGGTCCTGTGCTTCCTCCGAGTCCCAGAAGGAGTACGGTCCCTGTGCTCCTCCGAGTCCCAGCAGGAGTTCCGGGTCCCTGTGCTCTCCGAGTTCCCAGCAGGAGTCCGTCTGTTGCTCATCCGAGTCCCAGCAGGAGTCCGTGTCCCTGTGCTCCTCCGAGTCCCAGCAGGAGTTCCGGTCCATGTGCACCTCCGAGTCCGCAGGAGTCCGGTCCCTGTGCTCCTCCGAGTCCCGCAGGGAGTCCGGTCCCTGTGCTCCTCCGCAGTCCCAGCAGGAGTCCGGTCCCAGTGCTCCTCCGAGTCCCAGCAGGAGTCCGGTCCTGTGCTCCTCCGAAGTCCCAGCAGGGTCAGGTCCCTGTGCCTCCTCCGAGTCCAGCAGGGTCGGTCCCTGTGCTCCTCCGAGTCCCAGCAGGAGTCCGGTTCCCTGTGCTCCTCCGGAGTCCCAGCAGGAGGGGGTCGGACCCTGTGCTCCTCCGGTCTCCAGCAGGAGTCCGGTCCCTTGTGCTCCTCCGAGTCCCTGCGGAGGTCCGGTCCATGTGCTCCTCCAGTCCCAGCAGGAGTCCGGTCCCTGTGCCTCCTCGGAGTCCCGCAGGAGTCCGGTCCTGTGCTCCTCCGCGTCCCAGCAGGAGTCCGGTCCCTGTGCTCCTCCGGTCAGCAGGGAGTCCGGTCCCTGTGCTCCTCCGAGGTCCCAGCAGGAGTCCGGTCCCTGTGCTCCTCGAGTCCAGCAGGAGTCCGGTCCCTGATGCTCCTCCGAGTCCCAGCAGGAGTACGGTCACCTGATGCCTCCTCGAGTCCCAGCAGGAGTCCGGGTCCTGTGCTCCATCCGAGTCCCGCGGAGTCCGGTCCTGTGCTCTCCGAGTCCAGCAGAGTCCGGTCCCTGCTGCTCCTCCGAGTCCCAGGCAGGAGTCCCGCGTCCCTGTGCTGACTCCGAGTCCCAGCAGGAGGTCCTGGTCCTTTGCTCCTCCGAGTCCCAGCAGGGAGTCAGGTCCTGTGTTCCTCCGAGTCCCAGCAGGAGTCCGGTCCTGTGCTCCTCCGAGTCCAAGCAGAGGTCGCCCTGTGCTCCTCCGAGTTCCAGCAGGGAGTCGTGGTCCCTGTGCTCCTCCGAGTCCCAGCCAGGAGTCCGGTCCCTGTGCTCCTCCGAGTCCCAGCAGGAGACCGGTCCTGTGCTACCTCCGGAGTCCCAGCAGGAGTCCGGTCCCTTGTGCTCCTCCGAGTCCGCTAGGGAGTCCGGTCCCTGTGCTCCTACCGAGTCCCAGCAGGAGGTCGGTCCCTGTGCTCCGCCGAAGTCCCAGCAGGAGTCCGGTCCCTGTGCTCCTCGAGTCCCGCAGGGAGTCCGGTCCATGTGTCCTCCGAGTCCCAGCAGGGAGTCGGTCCATGTGCTCCTCCGAGTCCCAGTAGGAGTCGGTCCATGTGATCTAAGAAGAGAGAGAGAGACCTGAGAACTGGATAATGTGATGGTACTTCCTGGTCTAGTCGGGACTCACGCTACAATTCCATCTCTGTGATAGAAAAACAATAATCAAATACCCTCTTCTGGAGCTTTATGCTGGAGAATATGTGGAACGATAGGGGACTAAAACACATGCTTTTGTCCTAGCCTGTCATGCTAACCGCTAACTCGGGTCGGCAACATGCGGCCCTTTAGTGCTCTCGAGTGGCTCTGGAGCCTTTACAAAATGTCTGAAAATGATGGCAGGGCTATATTTTATTTCTAGTTGAATGTGGATTTTGTAGGCAGGATAACATTCATAACGTTTTTAAATGCTGTGCATAAGTACTATTTCAACATTTCTGGTCGAACGTAGTGCGTCATATCCGGTGCCGCAGCTCGCGCAGGCGGCGTTGTAAACCAAACCGGCGTGTGGGAATGAAACCCAAAGCTAAAAGAACAAGAATATGAAATATCAGTCACTGAGGAGGGCTGCTTAATCGTCTGCGTTCTTAATGAGAAGTTTTGTTTCAACACGCAGAGCAATGACGCGCTAACACCCGTTCACGGTGATTACGTGAAGGATTCATTCATTCTTAAAGTCAGAGCACCTATTTTTCAGACTTCAAATCCTCCGCAAAGACATGAAAGAAAGGGCCAGGACTATTATTCAGCTCCGCAAACTTCAGCCTGGGAATCAATATGACAGACAGTGATGCAGGGAACTCCGGGAGCCACAAAAGCTGATTATTTACTGTATTTCGACAATTGCATGAAAGCAAACAAATGGAGCTTTAAAGTTACAAGCAGAGTTGTCACATGGTGCGTCATTTCTCTCAGGACAACGCAGGTGAAAACATACATATGATAATCATGAATGTTTTATTAAGCATTTGTAGCTTTACTTTGTCATTTAGATATAAGGCTAATCATAGCTAATACATCTTGATGCCGTGGTACCTTCATATAAGCCTTATACAAGGCTGTTATTTTTGTTTTTTGCGGCTCAGACAGATGTTGTTTTTATTTTTTTTTTGTCCTAAATGGCTCTTTGAACTCTTTGAGTTGCAGACCCTGCGCTAAACTCAATGAAGCCCAATAGAGAAGTGCTCATGGGCAGGTTTTGTTCCAACTTGCTCTGACTCCTATTGACTTAAACACAGAAAGCAGAGACTGAGAAATGGACTAACGTGATGGTGCTTCCTGGTATTACATCAATCATGTTTTTTTCTTGGTGCTTGAAGATCAGAGAATTCTCGCCTTAAGGGTCAAACAACGTTTATCTTATCTTAGAGAAAGTTTGGCGTTGTTTTCGGTGAGTGTAACACAAACGGTGCCACACTCACCAAAAAAACTCAAAAAACTCTTTTTTCTCTAAGATAAGATAAACCGTTGTTTGTCCCTTTAAAGGCGAGAATTCTCTGATCTTCACACCAACGAAAAAAAATTGATTATGTAAAACCAGGGAAGGCACCATCACGTTAGTCCAGTTCTCATGTCTCTTGCTTTCTGTGTAAGTCAAGAGGAGTCAGAGCAGTTGGAGAACAAAACCTTGCCCCATGAGCACGTCTCTATTGGGCTTCATTGGGTTATGGGCAGGGGTCGGGGCAACTCAAAAGGTTCAAAGAGCCATAATAGACAAAAAAAAAACTAAAAACACATCTGTTGGAGCCGCAAAAACAAAAATACAGCCTTGTATTAGGCTTATATGAATGGTACCACGGGCATCAAGATTGTATTAGACTATATCTAGCCTAATATCTAAAGACAAAGTAAAGGCTACAAATGCATAATAAAACATTCATGATTATCAAATGTATGTTATCACCTGGCGTGTCCTGGATTGAGAATGACGCACATGTGACAACTCTGCTTTAACTTTAACATTCCATTTTTTTGCTATCATGCTATTGTAGAAAATACAGTAAATAAATCTGCTTTTTGGCTCCGGTTCCACCTGCATCTCTGTCTGTTCAATTGATCACAGCTGAAGTTTGGCTGGAGCTGAATTAATATCTGGCCTTTCTTTATGTCTTTGCGGAGATTTGAATTCTGAAAATAGGTGCATTCTGACTTTAAGATGATGAACTTCCACGTAATCACCGAGAACGGTGTTTTAGCGCGTCAATGCTCTTCGTGTTGAACCAAACTTTCTCATTATGACGCAGACATAAGCAGCCCTTCCTCAGTGGACTGATATGTTTCATTCTTGTTTCTTTAGCTTTGGGATTCTTGCCCACCCGCCGTTTGTTTACAACGGCGCCCGCCTGGCGCGAGGGCTGCGTCACCGATATGACGCACTACGTTGACCAGACATGTTTGAACTAGTACTTCTGCACAGCATTTAAAAACGTTAAGTATGTAATCCTCCTACAAAATCCCATATCAAACTGAAATAAAATATAGCCCTGCACCTCCATTTTCAGGACATTTTTGAAAAGCTCGGAGCCACTCGAGGAGCACTAAAGGGCCCGAGGTTGCCGACCCGAGTTTAGCGGGCTTTTAGCATTACAGGCTATGACAAAAGCATGTGTTTAGTCCCCATATCGTTCCATCATTATTTCTCCAGCATAAAGCATCAGAAGAGGGTATTTGATTATTGTTTTTCTATCACCGAGATGGATTTGTAGCTTGAGTCCTGACTAGAACCAGGGAAGTACCATCACATTAGTCCAGTTCTCAGGGTCTCTCTCTCTCTTCTGAGGAGCACATGGACCGGACTCCTGCTGGGAACAGGAGGAGCCATGGACCGGACTCCTGCTGGGACTCGGAGGATGCACATGGGACCGGATCCTGCTGGCACTCGGAGGAGCACAGGGAGGACTCCTGCTGGGACTCGGAGGAGCACAGGGACCGGATCCTGCTGGACTCGGAGGAGCGACAGGGGACCTGGGACTCCTGGTGGGACTCGGAGGAGCACAGGGACGGATCTCCTGCTGCGGATCGGAGGAGCACAGGGACGACTCCTGATGGGACTCGGA